GCAGATACCAATACAGCTCTTAAATCCAGAACGGTATTTTCAGACCAAGTTAGGGTCTAGTATTTCCTTATTTGGTAAGGCACTCATCTTAATTCTTGGTTCAGAGGAAGACGTTAAAGGGTAGCTAACAATTGTAGAACTACTAAGTTATGTTGCCCGTTTCCTATGCGCACTCTGAAACTAGAAGAGATTTTCTTATTATAATTTAAAAAAGTGACCTCATTTCGAAGCAAAGACCTAAATTAATGGTACCATGTAAGACTGTAAACTTCAAAAGTTTAATATAATATGTTGTCAAATACAGGGATTTTCGTTAATAAATATAAAGTTAACAGCTTATTTAAATATTATGACATGGGGTAAATTTGGCTTTGATAATAAATTAGGATAGAAACATTAGATTTTAGCTAAGAGTTAAAATCTAATACTTTTCCCTTCTATAATAAATTACTATTCTTCACGGCCACTACTGAATGTAGTTCTTCGGAAACCACTTATAACAATAGAAAGAAAACATTCTCGTTGTTAAGATTGAAAGAAAATTCTGAAACACTTGGCTCTTCTGTATTTTACACGTATTTCATTTTAATTTGAGTGACAGAATGATAATTCTGTAATAGCTACTGGCCAAAGGCTGTGAATATCACGCCCGCATCTTAGATAGCCATGAATTTCATGATTAGCAGTTCTACACACGTGACGTATAATTATTTAGTTTGAATTTACTTGGATAAAGATAAGCGTCGTTCATTGAGTCGAACTTAAATTCAAAAATGGGTGAAAATAATGATTCTGATATGGATTTTGATAATACTCCCAAACTGACAAATAATGCAAATGATTTAAATAAAAACTTGCCTAAAATAAGTTATGATTAAATATTTAATTTTGTTCAAAGATTAATTTTACTATATTCTCCTACTGTGTCTGTTGCCGTGGAGAAAGTACAGTTTGTTACTCTGTTACTCGTATCGAATTTTTATTCCAACCCTGTTACAGAACATACTATTATTTTGATACATCATTATGACTTTTTATTTTTATAATTTATGTATGACATGTCATCCGTTTCCATTTTCACAATTATACATTTTATAAGTATACATCTAATGATTATTTTATGATGGGATCTTAAACATAAACCCAGACCCCACTTCCTTTATCACTAGTTCCAATTGAAATTCAAAAATCCTATATAGCACGAGTCTTTTTAGAATCTGTTGTGATTGTATCCTTACTCATGAATATTAGACGATTATTCTAGAAAATTCTACTTTTTAGTGATCGATAGTTCGTGAGAAAATTTATAATTTATCAGTTTCCAGTTTCAAGAAATTAATTATTCATATTTTCAGACTGTATTAGAACCTCACCCCGATATTATTAGACACCAATTAGATATGAGGACTAATTCAATGTCGGTTAGTTCAGGTACACGTATTTTAATAAAAGTTTATCGTTTAACTAATTGACCGGATTAACTTTTTGTTTAAACGTAAATATCTACTTTCAGGTTTTAATTAAATACATATTAGTAGCTATACATTTTTTCTAAAATTATATTACACAAAAAGTTTACCTACTAATTAATTGTTGTCTGGATTAACTTTTTGTTTAGACATAGATACCCACTTTCAGGTTTAAATTAAATACATAGCATCTAATAATTTATTCTAAATTTACATGATTACTGAGCAATGGAATAACTTTGTTAACTGGTATGCTACCCTGAGATGTAAAATGTAATTTTCCTACATGCCAAACTACTATTTTAGTAAACTTGGTTTTTATATCAAAATTATATATTTTATTAACTGTTTATTGAGAAAAACTAATCATGAATGAATGAATAGGTACCGTAAAACGGAGCTGCTTTGACAAGCGCACAGTAGGCCAGAACTCCCTTCAAATGTTGATAAATTTAAAACTAACAAAGATCATCACTAAGTAGGCTCTAGAGCAGCCATATTCAACCTTTTTTCTTCGGGCGACATTCGTATATTGGCTATATTACACGGGCCGCGATATTTTTGGATAATGACACTTTTTTTAAGGCCATCCATTTAAAATTAGCTAGTGGGTACCTCTAATAAATAAAACACGAAACATAAATATATCCCGTCGGGTTACTGCAAAAACAAGATAACTCACATTTTTTTAGAGTTTCGAGAAAACGCTGTTCAAAAGATTAAAATTTAATACAAAATCAGTAAAAACTTCACATGTTTAATAAACAATAATTTCAATGAAGAAAAGGTTTTAGAACATAATTAGTATTCACAAAGTATAAACTAAGAATCCATTGATTGGTAAGAAAAAAAAAAAAAACGTTACTTAACTAATTTTAGCTGTCTACATACGATGTATGAGTCTTTAACATTATTGGATACAGGAAGATTGTGATAATAATGGTGTAACACCTGATTTGCAAAGTTTTCCTAAATCTTTCTTCTGCATTTTTTTGTAAGAATTTTCAGAGCTATTTTTTTCACCCTTTCAGGCATCCCTCTATTGGTTTTTACAGGTTAGCTGTTTCGCGGAAAGAAAGGGTGACGTAATCACCTTGTTGATTTCAGAACAAATGAGAAAGGCCAGAGGCAAATGGCTTGGGCAAAATGTAGTAATTCAACAAATATATTCAACAAAAATAAGTGTTCTGGCCTTTATCTTGTTTTAGCAGAAACACTATTAGGAATCGGATTAAATACATATAGCAAACATAAGATATATGTCTCTTATCTGATTTTGGTAGAGACACTGTGACGAAGTCACTAAATTTTGCTCTCAATTAATTTAAAAATGTATATTTCAATTAATTCCCGCCTGAGGGCATGTAGAAGTTCCCCCGTATTTCTGTTTTTCCCGGGAATTACCGTTTTTCAACAATTGCGAGTACCGTCGTAGGTTAAAATATTCCTATATTTGCCGAAATCCGAATGGGCATTTTTAGAGTCGATTTCGTATGAATTATCTACTTTTATTTGTCAAGGTACTAGAAACACATTTTTTTTTATTTTTAAATTGTAAATAGTCGGCTGTAGTAGTGGTATCCCCCACTCGGGCCTTCCGAAAAGCATAAATTCAATCACATTTGGGAATTACACCCTCTTGCTTGTCGGCCGCCGTAAGCTGTGCCGTGATTTCGAAAGATTATTGAACAACCCCGTTTATTTTTCTAAAGTATAGTAGCTACCTAGCAGTGACCGCCTGGAATTATTTACCTCCACTGAGTTCACCTTGAGGACACTCTGGTGTACCACAGGGTCGCAGAGCAAACTGCGATACCATAACTGGCGCCTGAGCAACCCCTATTCGGGAATCAACATCATAGCGCCATACAGACTCGCTGATTCACTGTAGGTGAACTAGGAGCCTGTCACAACACTATTAGCAATGTAACACAATGTTATTATATTTCAGTATAAATTTCACTTGTTTGTGCATATTGTGAATGTATTAATATGGAGTTAGTTTTTATTGTCCATCTGTTTATGAATATAGACTTCGTTCCACTTGTCTCGTTAATGCTTTATATTATTTGAACTACTTTAGAGACGCAAATACTAAAAATGGAGTTATCATGTTTTTGCAGTATCCCCACGAAAATCTAAACGTTTATTTAAAAATTATCGTAATATTTAGCGCAGTGACCGATGAATGTTTTCGACTGTTTTCCTCAAGATTTTAAAACCGAAACCTATAGTTTTAAATAGCACCTTCCTAATAGTGTTTTGTGCCGCAAAAAGAAGCTTGGAAGGCCACATGCGGCCCGTAGGCAGCAGGTTAAATATATCTGCTGGTACCAACACAAACTGTTTACTGTTTTATAAAAATTATCATATTATTTTGCTATTTTCAGACAGTTTGAATTCCTTTTTAAAGCTTGCTACCGACTACTAATAAAGAAACGGCAGGCTCGTGGTTATGACGAAAAATCTATTATCAAAAAACAAAGGCAACATGTTCAATCTGAATTTAAAAAATAACTGGGGACTAAAGTGGTCCAACTAAAGTAAGAAGCTGGTGGTTAGAATGATGGGAATTGTGCCAGAGGTTTTTTCCGGAACTATTTTTTGTCTTCAAAAATTACCGGATTGGACGAAAGCTTAATATACAGATTTTACGTGATCCTTTAGATGCTTGCAAGCGGTTTTAATATTAATTTAGAAAAATTCAAAACTTTTAGATACCGCTAAGAAGTGCATATTCCTTTACCTTTGGTATAGAATACCTGTAAGCCTCCATGAAACTAATTGCATGGGCCTGCAATTATAAATGCTTCACCTGTTCCCAACTCTCTGAAGAAGCGCAAAAGGCGCGCAATAAGGAATATCGGAGGTACAGGGAGTATAATTTACGCAAATGCGGCAGAACTTTCTGCCAACGATCAGAAACCAGTTAGTGATACCAAGATTCTGCGCAGTAGAGAATTTAGCGGTCCCAGTAATCTACTGCGCAGCATTCTGGTGTCAGTGACTGGTTTCTGATCGTTGTTGGAATAGATCAATAGACGTGTTTAACAGTCTTTATATTTAATCGGATCCAGTAATAATAAGCCTAAGAAGAAAAACTGTAGTTAAGCAAAAATGTTTTCCTCCAGAAGTCTTTTGGTAATTTTCATGAATGTAATAAAGTTTTCCATATTGTTCATTTGACAAAACTTTTATTATTTCATAGTACCTGTGCAAAAGGATTTAAAGTGACAATTGATTTATGACTATTGGAAGAAACGCAAATGGTAATTGATGACACTAGTTCGAGCTTTTTAAGTCTCATCAGGTCCTTTTTACTTCAGTGTTTTTGTGATTTTTGGTTTGCTTAGGCTTGAATAAAAGTATTAATGAGAAAAAATACTTTATTAAAATCGAACAAAAAAACAAAAAAAAAACAAGTTTCTAGTAGGGGAGCCCCTTTCAATCTTTATTTTTATTATTTGTTGTTATAGCAACAACAGAAATACACATTCTATGAAAATGTCAACTGTCTACCTATTACGGATCATGAGATACAGCCCACTAACAGATAGACAGACGGACAGCCGAGGCTTCGTAATAGGGTTGGTTACCCTTCGGGTACGGAATACTAAAAATTGCCTGCAATAGTTTTTCAACATTTATGGTGACACAGGCCCACTGTGAGGCGGGGCAATTTTGTCAGTATGTATTACTATTTTTATTTTATTAATTTTTGTTTATTTTTTTTCAGATTAAAATAACTTCGGTCAATTTAAGTGTTCAATAGACCTGTAGAATCTAGAATGGTTAGAAAATATAAAAAAATCCATGGTCTAGGTCCTATAGGGCCTGTACAGAGGCGGACTTATTATGTGCTTGCAGTGCGAAGGCCGAAGCTAGCCGACGTTGGTAGATTCGCAGGGGAACTTTTCAAAACAAGTTGTTTCGAAGACATGACCAATCTGCAGGTCATCCAACTGTCCTTAGTGCAAAGGAAGAGCGTGCAATATCGGACGCCATAATTCAAGGTAGATTCGTTGCACAATAGCAAGATAATTTACCAGATAAAAGCTTTGTCGACAAATTTCTACAACTTGGGCGTTAGGTTAGCCTCAAATATAACACAATCCAGTTCTTCCATGTGTAACGAATGTAACTCACAACTCAGGAACAAAAAGACTTGGTTCGCAGGGTTACTAAACATGAGGAAAGGGCCTGAAAACATTGTCGTTCAACAATGATCTGTGCAAATGCAGATAGAACACTTTTTCCACAAATTGTGTACACCTCGCTCTGCTCGTCCCGCAAAGATTCATTTGTTACATAAAATAAGGCATTTTGTAAATAAGATTTAAAAATCCTAAACTTTTTTTTTTGTTTAGAAATGAAGTAGTTTAAGATTTTTACAGAGACGGCTCTTATGGTTGGAACACCCAGTATACGATATTGTCGGGCAATTATCTAAGAAGGCAGATACTCAAGGCCAAAGGTTAACGAATACTGAATTTGAAATTAGACCAGTATTTCAGTTTAGCAAGAACTAGACCTTGGCTGTCAGAAGATTCGACAATAAACCTTGAATAAACGAAACAAAGAAATATGTATTATTTTGTAAATGGTCTAGCCGTGTTGTCTTTATCTTGGTCTGAAATATCTTATGATGGTTCTTTGTTTTATTTATAAGTAGGTATATTTTCAACTGTCAGTTACACCATTTAGTAGATTTATTAATATTAATTATTTGACATTTCAAAAGTTCCTAATATAGATTGGGTTTGTAATTTTCTTGAGATTCAGGTTTGAAATTAAAATCGCATTTGTTATATTGTTTAAAGTTTTCGACTAGTTGGTCGGTTAGCCTTCATCTTTTCTCTCTCTGAAGGGAATAAAAGTTTTGAAGTCAAGGGAAAAAAATATATGCTTAAAAAACTCAAACTATGGAGAGAAAATTAACTGAAGACTGTTTACAAAAAATATGAGTGCACTGTTGTTTTAGAAAATATGAAATCAATGTTTAAACTGTGAAAATAGGCAGTGTTCATTTCAGTGGCGGATTTCCCTATAAGCCTGACCTCGCTCTAGCGTAAAGCGGTTATTTTTAGGGGCGGCAAATTTTGTCTTTTAATGAAATATAACAATAATTTTGGCTATGAATAATGCCAAAAAATTGAGAAAGGAAACCCCAAACGTGGAAAATAACCTGTGCAGTGGTCGACGCATCGTGGAATTACTGGAGTTGGGAAAACATTTAAAATGTTGCAGGTGTGAAAGAGTTCTTTCTCTTGAAAATATTACAAATGAAACACGGAAGGGCCTTTATTCAATTTTAAATGTTAAATGTAATGAATGTAATATTGAAACTATAGTACCTACGGACAAAGTTCATGCAACAAAAAGTGAAGTTACGCATTCAGATGTCAACACTAAAGCAGTTCTAGGTAAATTTAAAAAAAAAATACATAAGTATTTGTTATGTTTATAATTTTTTTATTATAATTAATATATTTTTATTTATTTAAAGGTGCTTTCCATTCAGGGTTTGGACAAACTGCTTTAAATAAATTTCTTGCTGTCATGAACGTTCCTACGATATCATCAATATTACAGAAAATCATTACTTTTATTTGTGTTTTTTATGACTTCCTCATACTAGTAAGTTAAAATTTTAAATAACTTTATAGTCATTTTTTTGTGTAACTGTATTTTATTTTGAAGGCATGTTTAAATAAAATTATATTCATATTTTGCATATTTATTTAATTTTGAAGACATGTTTAAATACAATTAAATTTAAATTGTTAAATCATATCAACCTAAAGTATAAACAACGTTCCTTCGCAGAAGGCCTCGATAAAGTGATAAACTTGACCTGTCCGCGGCAATAAAAAGATTGGGAAGCACTGATCTATCAGACATTTGAATTAGCGGGCGTTGAGTGTATCGATCACAACGTTGCCAAATTATAATCACAATACGCCACTATGCGTCTACTGCTTTAAGAACATTTTTATTTTAAAAATCTACATTTCTTTATCAAGACGGTAAAAAAATTCAGAGTTTTTTCAGAAAATTTTATAATTTCTTGATTTACATTACATTAGTTTTTAAAAAATATGGTAAGAACCGTTTTCGAGATATCTTGAAATAAATGCAATGATTGTGCACATGACAGGGCTTCAAGAGTGTTAATTATTCACATTTTGATTGTTAATATCTCGTTTTACAGACGGTCAATTTTTTTTATTTTTTTTAGGTACATAAAAGACACTTTCATTAACCTCATATTTCAATTTTATTGAATTCTTAAGAAAAGCCGTTTTACGAGTGAACTACCTTAAGAACATTTTTACGAATTTTAGTGCGTACCTTAGAGGGTTTTGAAATTGTTACTGTTTTAACAAAATAAATCTCTTATACACATTTTCATTATCAATTTATGAACATGAACATTTTAAACAGAAGATCAAACACTGCAACATATATAAAATTCAGGAGATTGGACCAAAATCCATTAGCCATAAGAAAAACTGCAGGGTCCTTTAAATAAAGAAAAAATTCAGGAAAATATTCATATTTCTATTAAATTTGCCCCTTAATCATCTGCTGGTATGAAAATTAATCATCGGAAAGGGTGATATTGGTAAGCGTTTGGGGTTGTATTTTCTACTTCATTCAAAACCTACGTATTTCTACAGGGTGTAACAAAAAGATGTACAGTAAATTTAACCACACTTTCTGTGGTCGAAAATAAGTCGATTTAAGCTAACTTGCTTACATTAAAAAAAATAATATTAAGGTTATTAAAGTTAAAAATTTTAAAAGTGATTTTTTGCTCGTACTCTAAAACGGCTTAACATATTTTTATGAAGGGTTTCACACCCCTTTGACCCCCCCTACTTTTCTATACAATGGAATTTACTTAAAAACAGAACTCCACTGAAATACATTTGTTTAAAAAAAATGTTGCCTCATCGTATGTGTTTGTAAAAGCCTTAATTGCCGAGTTATAGGCCCCAGAAGGAAGGTCATAGTGAAAATTAAAATAATTTTTCCTATTAATTAATCTTAACTTAAATCACTATTTGTTCACGATTTTTTTACTATTTTACAACTTTATTGCGATCGATAAATACAAGGAAATCATTGTAAATGAAGTTGTGCAAATATTCAGTAGTTTAAGATTAATAGAAAAAGTTCATTGTATTTTTCACTCATTTCTTCTGGGGTCTATAACTCAGTAATCAAGGCTTTCACAAATATAAGGAGACTCTATTTTATTGGTAACTATATACTAAGCTCCCATGTACATTTTTATAAAAATATTTTAAGCTGTTATAGAGTACGAGCACAAAATCACTTCTAAAATTCTAATTATAACACCCTGTAACTTTTTACTATCCATTTTTTATTTTTGCAAGTTAGCTTGAATCATAGAAATAGTATAGAAAGCCGATTCCATAATATCAAAAATGAAACCATAAGGAGAAAATAGTGTGTCGGAGCTCATGCGTATAGCTGGCTCGGACAGGACCGGTGCAAGTTTTTTATTGATCGAACAAATAGTTCACACGATGTTTCAGTCATACATTTTTAGAGATGATTCTATATAAATAACGATGAAAAAAATTCAAGTAAGGTAAATATGGTTCTGAAAGTCCTTATTAAGAAAGATATGGCATAAAATATGAATTAGTTAATTTTCGGCAATCATTATGTTATAGTCACGAGATTTTGCTTGTGATCTGACATCTTATTTGATTTAGTATCATTTGCTATAAGTAAATTTAATCTGAGGAGTGCAAAATATGGGGCAGTTGCGTTTCGCGCAGGAATATTATATTCGATATTTTTTTACATTTTGTCAGCCGAGACTATGAGTCGTTACTTACAATTAGACAGAAAACCTTTCATGTTTTCATTTTCAATATAAATTATCCAAAGATGTCTGCATCTCTCAAGATTCAAAATTAAAAAATACTAGTACACTTACTTGGCACTTGGTACATATTTTATTTTAATTTTGAACCCTTTTAAAAGGTTCTTTCGGTTCCATAATAAAAGTTAGTCGCTGCTTACTAGAAACATTCTATATAGTCTAAACCAATTTATGGATTGTTTTCGTTCAATTTAATACAAAGATTTAAAGCTTTTAGTCGACGATAACATTCCACATCAGTACATTACAAACCTATTTTATAGAAAATAAGAATAAACTTGTAAATCATTAATTTGGTAGTTATCTCACTTATAATGATTTTTTTTTTGATTTCTAAATATATTTTGGCTTTACAATACGAAGCGTTTTGTATCTAATACTTTTTTTATTGGACGATGAATGTTGACAGGCGTGTACCTTTTTCAGAACAAGAGGCGCTTTAACGACGGAAATGATTTTTGAACTATCCAGTTAGTTTTCGGAAAACTAGAAAACGTTTGAAGAAAGTCGTCAATAACATTAGCGTGTCGTTCATGTGTTTCATTTTGATCAGCTTTCATTCTAAATTGCATAGAATACTCTTCCTCCGATTCAAAATCGAGATTCTCGATATTTCCACAGTTTATTTATAATACTTTCTAAACTGGCTTTATCTATCATTTAATATACTCTATGATATATGTTCACGCCCTACTTTGCACTTTATTAACAATTTTTTTTAACATACTTCAAAATGGGAGGATATTCTCAATTCGTTGAAATAATTTTTTATGTATGTTGAGCGATAATTCTTTACCACGTTGCCCGATTTCTATGATTCTCTTTTTGTTAGAAAATGAATAGTTCAATAGTCAAGATCTGAAGATGGGATTCATGAGAAAATCATTAACATCTTCATTTTTAAGGTAGGTTTTTTAAAATTTATTTAAACCGTACTGGTTCACACGCTGTAAGGAATGAAGAAATGTAAATAATTGTTGTGTCAGCCAAAAAGCGAAGAGGAAGTAACGATTAAAATATCGAGTGACATATGAGTTTCTAAGTTCGTTGAGATCGGGTTTATGTTTTAAAATGCCTTGAAACCCGCATTTGAAAGTATACCATGCAAACTCCGTCAGTGGCGTCACAAATGTTAAGTAAAGGTACAATTTAATAGGGTTAATTTTCTGTTTCTACATTTGAAAATATACCCGATGCCAACTCAACCAGTGATGTCATAAATGTTAGGTAAAGGTACAATTTAATAGGGTTCATTTTAAAATTCTTTATTTCAAATTATACCCGACTGAAATACGGTCTCTGACGTCATGAGCGTTGTGTAAAGGTATATATTCCAGATAAGCAACATTTAATGTCCCATTGGTATCAGGAATAATAGAAGTAGCGTCTCATTTAAAATAAAACGAAAATAACAGAACTGTCAGAATATTTTAGATGAAAAGATCATAGCCTGCTTACCATTTAAAAAAAAATAATTCATTGTTTGGTCAGATATCGAAAATGTCTTCCAGTCGCGGGGCAGCCGTATATAAATATACAACTCTCTATTTACATAATTCTTAGGTAGGTTTAGATTTCCAGACACAAATCTTGTAATAAATATAACAGCTGCTAAATACATTGATTACATTTTCATTAGCCAATGTAAAAATTTCTTTTATTGTACCTAGGATTTAACCAGAGATAAAGATAGGAAACCTTAGAATATATATACTCAAGAAGGAGGAATCCTAAACGACCTTGGAATCGCGATGGTATCTAATTTTGACAATGAACTAGACGAATATGGCGACAAGTGTTTCCGGTCTACCTGTGACGTACTGTCATAAAGGGGCGTAGAAAAAAAAATAATCAATTTTCATTTGCATATTATCTAAATTTACCGATTTCTCTCATTTTAACGAATTGCTATTTTCTTGCGAGAAGTTTACTTTTTTTTTTATTAACCTTCATTATGTGAATAAATTTTACTTTAAAATTGCATGTTGGCTGGGATAAACATAGGAAAATATTTTTGGGATAATTTATAGAGGGATTTCATTTGAAAAATCAAAGTGTATTAAACAAAATATTGACTTTTTGCGTCTTTATTATGACAATGTCTTTATTAATCTACATTTTACAAATTATTAAGGTTTGAAAAATAAATATGTTTTATAGATATGCGTTAAAAAAAATTAAAAATCCTATAATTATATTTAGGTCAAACACCGCTGTGATATTTCTTTCTTAGATGTTTTTGTTGGAATACACATAAAACTTTCTAATATCGAAGAGAATTTCTGATCATTTTATTACATAATATTATTAATATTTTTTGCAGGACAATTTTGCATAAGCAGGTAAAACACTTTTCCAAGAAAAGATCCTATAACGTAATAATGATTCTATGAGTGCAAAATAGATTGTTTTTAAATGTACATTTAAGAAATCTGAAAATTGTTTACTTGCAATCAATTTATAAATCTAAATTAAACAATAATTTATTCATTTTAACAACCACATAAATATCTTAAAATTGCATAAAAGAATTGTTTAAATAAAATTATGTATACCCTATAAACCATGAGACTACGCCTATGAGCATAGTTGATCGCAGACGCACTTACCATGTTTGTTTACAAATTTAAAACGTTAAAAATTTTAAAAATCTTTAATGTGGTTGAAAATTGAGAGAACAAAATACTTGATTATGAAATGTAGATTATTCCTTTCTACTTTTAGCTATGCTGCTATATCCACAAGACGAACAACTGACCATATTGTCTTGTTTGCCTTTTAACGCGGAAAATTTAAAATTAACATTAATACTAAATAAATACTAAAACACTAAACACTTTTTAAAAATGTCTACAAAACACACGCTTGATAAAAGTTAAAATTAACACATAAAACATCTAAATTATTAACAAATTTTAATCACTAAATTTATAAACCAATTTTAGAAACCATTTATCATATGATCATGAGTCATTCATAGTACAACCACTTCCGTCAGATCGATTAGATTAACGAAGACATGGCATGCTCCTTCCTGACTATATATGTTCTAAGTAGGAAACGCAACGACCGCAGCAACGGTGGCGTCATCTATGCGTCTCAGATGTTAACTACAGATATACGTCGTTTGTAGACAGACCAGTGTCGCCAAACATTTTTTTTTTTGAGTGATTGTACAAGTAGAGTAGAAAAATGTTATTTCGACAAAAAAACAATAGGTACATGTATAGCACAATATAACTTAAATGGAATTAAAAAAATAAAAAAAAAAACTTTGACATGATCATTTATTTATCTATTTATAAAAACTAAAAAAAATACATGAAACTTTAAATTAACACATTTAAAGTAATCAATGACTGTCACTTAAAAGTGATTGAAATTTTGCATGCAAACTTTTCTTATGCCGTGATAGTCGATGTTGGTACAAAATCACCATGGTCAAAATCACGATAAGTGAGAACGAAAATGACTGCCTTCAGAAATTACGAACGGCCTATGAATCTTTGCAAGTAGTTTTTGACTTTTATTGTTTTACGTTCTGAAGTTGTTGCAGATATTTAAATAAACCTACTAAAAAAGAGAAGATCGTATTTTTACGTACGATCTCACTGATGCAATCGTACATCGTACAGAGTTAAAAAATCACATACTTTGATTACTATACGACGCAAGAGAGAGGTCCGACACGCCCAACATAGGGCGCGGCCATTTTGAACCCTGTGGCACAGTTTACAGCTAAGGAATCAGATCGCTCACTCTGCGTCGGCACTTTGGATCTCAATGTTTCAGTTTATACACTGTGCAACTCGGATAATACAATATATGACAACCGCCTTTAATAAAACAGCAGTCTTCTGCGTATCCTGAATTTGTATCTCTGGAGTGGATGTTATTTTGGAACTTTCAACTGGTCCGAGTGAGCTAACTGATTCTTTAGCAATGAACTGTGACTTCAAAAATAATATTCACTGACACCTCAAAGACTGACACCACATACTTTGATTTTCTTTTATGTGACTGACACTGACAGCAGCAAGCAAAATATCAGGTGCGTTTTAATCATCCGCTTCTGCTTCCGGAATTGTCGGTTTAGTCGTTTTAACCTGTCAGATTAAAACAAGAAAACCGACAATTCCGAAGCAGAAGCGGATGATTAAAACGCACCTATTAAAAATATTGCGCCAAGATGTAGGCAACACGTAATAAGGGATCAAAATGGCGGAGTTTTCTATCTCCTTTTAAAAGGCACTCAGAAAGCTGCGCAGTGGGACCATTCTCCGTATAGTAAAAGAAAATCAAAGTATGTGTAAAAAATCATATAAATACGATTTAAATCGTACGGTTGGCAACACTGAGACAGACAGTGGACGTGGACAGAAGTAGACAGTTTAATATAAATGACAGTTACTTTTATGTATATCGAAGAAACCTGAATTTAAATTTTAAATTTTGAGTTCATGATTGTGTTATCCTCTAAATAAACTAAGCGAAATGGTTGTGGCTGTTTTTGTGTAAAATTTGAGAACAGTAATTATATTTTGTAATATTACAATAAGTCGGAGAACGTATAAGTAACACATTCCACATGAATAAATTTAACAACCCCAATGTGGCGTTCTTTAATTAACCAAAATAAGATCTAGTCATGTAAGTAACACAAATAGTAACCAACTTTTGCCACAAAGTAGGTATTTATGGATTATTTATTGTTTTAGAACAAGAAAATGGCTTCAAAACGTTAGAAAGAAGATTTGATATAGGAAGAAAAATATCTGAATTACCATTATTGAGTTTGCACTCAACATTTTTAAGTAAGATACCATTGGCCATTCGTTTGGAAAATAAAAACAAAAATGTAATGTTACAAATAACGATCAAAAATTTAAAAAATATATTTTTTTACTTTGAGTAGATTTGCAATAATTAATCGATAAGTGCAGTATTCTTTTTAATAAATAATTTTTCCTACGACCACTTAGGAAAGTGACACATATCACACTATATAGTCCTATGGAAAGTGTCCTATATCACACGCGTATGACTAAGAATTTACTTTCCACCCAAGTGAGAATATGTTACTTTCCGCAGTAGTTGTCAAAAAATGTCAAACGCCTAATTTCTGTTTTGATCTATGTAATGTCCATATTAATACTAAAATCGATATGATTGTTAAATTATTGAAATTGTTTTAAATTAGATCCTAGATATTTATCTTTAACAATTATTATTAAAATAATTTTAAAATAACTAAGATTATGTTTGCTCTTTAATTTGGGTAAATACATAACCGATTAGATCATTCAATTGACGTAAGGCCCATTAGCTCAGTTGGTTTAGACGTCGAACTTATCAACTTTGCCATTTTTTGACCGCGTTCAATCTATGGTTCAAATCCTGGCGGAGCCGAATTTTTTTTTTGTTTTTTTTTATTTTTTATTAGTTTTTTTTTGTTTAGAAAATATGAAAATTGAATAAATACGATTATTGTTGATTATTTTTTTAAATACATTTTAATTAATATAGTAATAATAACCTTGGTTTTACATTTTTTTGATATTATTTTGTAAGCTAATTTCTATTTTGATCTATGTAATATCCATATTAATACTAAAATCGATATGATTGTTAAATTATTGAAATTGTTGTAAATTAGATCCTAGATATTTATCTTTAACAATTATTATTAAAATAATTTTAAAATAATGTTTGCTCTTTATTTTGGTTAAATACATAACCGATTAGATCATTCAATTGACACAAGGGCTGTTAGCTCAGCTGGTTAGGACGTCGAACTTATCAATTTTGCCATTTTTCGACCGCGTTCAATCTATGGTTCAAATCCTGTCGGGGCAGAATTTTTTTTTTGTTTTTTTTTTATTTTTTTTTTATTTTTTTTTTATTTTTTGTTTAGTTTTTTTTGTTTAGAAAATATGAAAATTGAATAAATACGATTATTGTTGATTATTTTTTTAAATACATTTTAATTATAGTAATAATAACCTTGGTTTTACATTTTTTTGATGACATTATTTTGTGGTCGTAGGAAAAATATTGTACATCACTTGTGTGAAAAGTGATTTTCCACACTCGTAATGTAATATACTATAGCGTAATTACATCGTTTTAAATTTATTTACAAGAACATGAGAGTGCAGTCGATATTTATACAATCTTTATTATCAGATTTTTAAATTTCCCGCTACGTTGTTTGATATCGATGAAAGCGCTACATAGTGGGTCAGATGTTAACTGCGTTAAAGCTGGTCGTTGTTAAGCATGGCTTCTTATTAGCGTTTCCTATCTTTATCTCCCTTATTTCTGGATTTAACTTAACACTACACAAAACTAAAAATAAAATGCCACTTTCACCGTGTAATTAATAAACCACAAATTAAACCTAAAATATCACAAACGGTCATGTAAGGGCAGCGTCATATAGCCTTGAAACACCGGATTTAAGTGGTATTGCCAGGTCAATATTGAATTTGTAGGTGAATCGCTTGTTGAACACTACCGTATTTGTATACAAGGTGTTAAAAAAAAGTGTCACAAAATAAAACTGGGGGTATTATGGGCCAAAATATGCAGAAGTCTTAATAAACATATGTCCGCAAATGAATGGTTTCAGAGATACGGAGTGTTTTGTGTTTTGTATCATTTTTTGATTATCTTTTTTCATTCTCAAAAACTTGCTTTTCTTATCGGAGTCTACCGATGTTTTTTCATAGATACTATTTGCAGTTATTATTTTGTTGTGGGTGAATAATTTTATAAATTTTCGTTATGCCTGTTTACACTAATATTGAATTAGCTGACATGCATTTTATGTACGGTCGTGCAAATGGCAATGCATTGAAATGGAGGGAGGGCACTTTGAACATCTCATTTAACTCTATGTTGTTATTGATTGTTTATAAATATTGTTTTTTTATAATAATAAAAAATTGTTATAAACACAAAATGGTCCGTATCTCCGAAACCGTTCATTTGCGGTCATATATTTATTAGGACTTTTCTGCTTATTTTGGGTCATACTATTCACCATTTCATTTTGTGACACTTTTTTTTAACACCCTGTATATTTTTGGGCAGGTAATTACACATAAATATTATTAGTTGATTATTTAAATGTTTATCAGTTATTTTGTGGCGATATTTCGTAGATATAAACGGTTTAAATCATATTTAACAGCGAAAGCTATCTGCTGTCAACTGATTTTGAAAAATGATAAAAAAAATTAATTCGCGGCGAAATTGCGCAGTAGCATCTATCTAGAGACAGTTATGACAGATGATAAATGACGACATCTAGAGACAGGTATGACAAGTGCCGACATAGAGCAATCTATATGATCGTTTATAAATGCCAGCAAGTGACCTTGATTCTTACGAATTTCGCTATTTTGAACTTTAGAATTTCTTATAGAGATTTACGGAGGTAATTAACCCCCCAGAATTTTTAAACCCAACTTTATATAGGTACTAAAATGTATTACGAATAATATCAAAAATAAAGTCTTAAATATTACCCCCAGACTTAAACTATATTAACACTACCCACAGACCTAAACTCTGGATGCGCCACTAATTTTGGCACATAACTCTGATTATAAAAACGTGGAACCAGCTACTGGAGTTTTAAACAATAAGAGCGTATAAAATATTAATAGGAGTCGGCACCCAGTTCACACACAATAATTTTAAACGAATTTTCCGGTAAACGTCTTTTATAAATTTCGATTCTGAAAACAAATACGTTCGGTTGCCCGAGAAATGTTCGTTCGAGCAAGGCTAATAAAGAAAACAATACAGGCGGAGCTCGTTGGATCGGATTAAAACTTGATGAAATATTGAAAAAAAAAACGATCGATAGCCTATATTTTCGTACTTCGAATAGTGAATTATTAATTAAGACATAGACAACACGTGTTACAGATACAATAAAACATCTATTGGTTGTCGAATTGGGCATTCTAAACCACGTGACTTTTTGACAGTTAAAATAGTTACCTGATGGCACAAAAATCACAAATTAACATTGAGTTGATATTTTGTTTTCATGAAATACGACATTTGGTAATATATTATGGTTTTAAAAAGGGGCGTGAGTAGAGCAGAGATTAATTTATAAGATAGCGACTTTCAGTGTAGTTTTTTCTTCAAATAATGAATGTAGCGACTTGTTTTTATGGGCCAGTTCAAGTATTGTCAATGTGAAAATAAATACTATACCTCAATTTATTTGCATTTTTTAATAACGAGTCCTGTATGATTTTAGTAGATTTTAAACTTATAATAAATAATTCAAATTTATGTACATTGGGTTGTTTCACTCCAAACAACTAATTAATTCCACTGACCACTGGTAGCCTAGTCTACGGGGGTGGGGGAAGGGGAATTGGACTTTTGAAAGGCGCGACACTAAATTAAGTACTAAATTTAGAAAGTCAAAAATCTGCAAATTACCAAATTTTAATTTTACACTTTTTTGAAATTTTCGAGGAAAAGGGTTTTCATTACTGAAACTATAAGAGGGTATTAACCCTTTTACGTGTAATTTTCCATAGCTATATTGATGGCATAATTACAGATGAAAGAAAATATTTTTTTTTTTAAACCAAATGATATTATCCACTTCCACTAACAACAAACAAGCGCGCTGTCCACTGTCAAGGTTATAAAAAGCTTATACTTGTGTGAAGTTAGCGCCCGGTGCTAAAAGCTCTATCCCCTCCTCCTAACCAAGTCCACACAATTCATAGGAAAGTAATGTTTATGATTGGATTTTTAATTAAAGGGCTTATAAAGTTTTTATTAGATAGAGGTATATTTAAAAATTTGCCGTATGACAGATAGCGAATAATGGAAAAAAGGTGCCCTATAAGATCTGGGTTTACTAAAAAATTAGATGACTAAAACTACTGACGTCTTATAAAAAAACACCCTTTATTAAAAGAAGATTACTAACAAAAAAACTAAGAGGAGTGTCAGATTACGAGTAGCAGATATGATAATTCGTAAGGTCTCATGCAGTAAAAATTTAGATGTTTTAAACCTCTGGCGTCTTATAGAAAAACCACCCTTTATAAAAAAGATAATTATCTTTTTTTTTTTTTGAAAAACTATGTTGCGAGACAGATTCCCCAATGATTTTTATAAAGGGTAGTTTTTCTATAAGACGCCTGGGGTTTAGGTCATTCAGTTTTTTAATGTGAGGAGACATTATAAGGTGATTTTTATATCCACTAATCGTAATCTGTCACGCGACATGGTTTTTTCAAAAAAAAATTATTATTTTTATAAACTGTGGTTTTTCTATAAGACGTCAGGGGTTTAGGACATTCCATTTTTTACTGTAAGTAGATCTTATAAGGTACTTCTTATAATTCGTCGCCGTAGATGTCAAGAGTGCCAGGCCACAAAATCCTAATTTCGAGAAAACGCTTGCAAACGATTATGTGACAGAAAATTTTAACATTTTTATGCTAAATTTTTCTTGTTTTCACAAATAGAATGTTGAAATTTAGGATACAGATAGATCTTGATATTTTCTTTTTATTGCTTCAAGAAAAGTGATTTTGAAAATATGTGTGTTACCTTTTGACCACTAAGAAAATAAATGTACTTTGCATTGCATTGCATGTACGGTTTTCAAAAGAGTCAAGCCTCCTATACCTGTGGACAACTCTGAAAACACAGTATTATTTTCTGGATTAGCTCTAAATTAGTCGCCTATGAAACTTTATTCTGAAGTAACTTCGCAGCTTTGTTTGGAGTAAAAAATCTACTTTTTGTCTAACTCTCAAAAACATTTTTTTATCAATCCATAGAAAAAAAATGTTATTTATATTTTTGTACAACTTCACACACTTATTTTAAACAATTATTACAAAAATAAATATTTCTGTATAGCTTCTTTTTAAAGCATACATTAAGAATTTATTTATTTTTGGGTTTTGACTGATTTTTCCACCATTAACCAGCAATCCTGCTCAGAAAAAAGTTTACTTTCGAAATTTTTATTCGAGCTAATAATAAAATAAAAATCAAACAACATTTCTGTTACAAACAAAAATCTGAAAAATTAACCTTACAAGATACAAAAACAATGAACGTTTATTATTATTTCCATTACTCTGACTGCCTTCCACAGAACCGTCTTTAGGTTCCAACTTTTTCTGATAGAAGTCATGATAAGTGTATGGAATGCTACTTCCCTGGCAAAGTTTTAACAGGTCGTTTAGTTTTTTTTCGGTCTATTTTCGGTTGGATGCAGTACCATCTTGGTACATCTATGATAGATACACTTCGTCGCTGTCTTCGCTGAATATTCAATGACTTAAACTGCTGCAACCATTTGCTTCCCACGTGAAAGCCTCATTGCTCACCACTCTCATTAAGAATACGCAATTACGTTATAAACCCAAAGTCTTGCAGTATCAAAGCAAAAAAACACAAACTCTCTAAATAATAATTAGGTGTGTTTCTTAGAAACGACACCAGCACTGAAGTTAACAACAGGACATCATAAGAAGGGTATTTTGTTTCTTTGTTTTGTTTGGCGAGTAAGAGCAAGATAATACTATAATCACAGATAGAAGAAAATCATTCAAATGAGTTGGCACTATTGGCAAGCGCTTCTGGCCAAACATTTCTTGGAAAGTTGAGGGGATCAAAAGCGTTAAGCCTCTTGGATCTATTTAATGATAAGATAATAGACGAAATTATTAGTAGACAAACGATTTTTGTGGCTTGGCCTCATTGACTGCTATGTTGTATGTTGACTAGATCTATTGACAAAATGTAAAAATATATTAAACTATACTATATTCACATTTCAAATACGCCCGATGTCAACAGAATCACGTGAACACCTAAACAGAACAGGGCCGCATTAAGCTCGTGAACCACGCGAACAAATAAATGTTTGAATTTGTTTGTATTTTAATATTAATAAATCTTAAAATATGTATTGTACAAAATCGGGACCAGGACTGGACTGAGTGAACATTTTAATATATATGCTATATTTTTTTATTAATTAGAAGCCATAACACCTTACTTTCGTACATTTAAGGGTTACTTTTTAAAATGAACGTTTTTTTAGAAAGCTTTTTTTGGCACTATAGCTACTGACGTACTTAAATGTATTATTCTGACTCTAATTCTGACATGTTTGAGTTATTACTATCACCAACTGCTATTACAATTGGTTCAATTTGAACCTCCATGATATTGTCTAGTTCCCACATTTTTGGTTCTACCTTTTGACGTATATGTTCAATATAGCGCTGCCATTTCTCTGGAGAAATTAATAATATCGCCTCGTCAAAAAGAATTTTCATGTCGGCAAATTTAAAAGTTACATTTCTGTCGGCCACGAAATTCTTCATATCTGCCCAAATTAATTCTATTGGGTTCAACTCACAGTGGTACGGTGGAAGGCGCAATACTGTTTTATTATGTTGTTTAGCCATTTCGTCTATTATTAATTTGTCATACTGCTTTTTGTGCTGTTTAACAAGGGCAAGCAGTTCTACTTTAAGCATTTAATCGTCGAAGTGTATATTCTTTGACGGTAACCAGTTTTGAATTTCTGCTTTCCTAGATGCCGTTGTAGATATTTTCTCCACTTTTCTCGAATGATAGGATACGTTGTCCAATACTATGACACAATTGTCTTCTAACTTGGGCAAAGTGTTTGAAATTAAGTTTTTTTAATAGTTTCCAGAAAGTTGTTCTTTTAAAACTTGGTAAATCTGGATCATCATTAACCTCTTTTAAAACTTTATCGACTGTGAGAAGCCCATTCCTAAAAAAGAATTGATGCACTTTCCGTCTTATTGCAGCTTTATCAAAATCTTTTACGGAATCTATTTGCGTATAGCGCAATTTTCTTTTTGGTTCAGAGAATGTTTTGTTTTGTTTATACTCCTTAAGAATGTTAAACACTGTTTTACAACGCACTCCTGTTCTATCTGCCACTCTTCTTTCAATTTCATGAACCACAATCCCAGGATTCTGTAGCCTTTCATGTTTATAAACATTGAGGATCATTTCTTTTGTTCGGGAGTTCAAATGTCCCTTTGTTGGACGTTTTTTGGGAGGCGTGAACGGTATGTTTTCACCTTCATCCGCGGTATCCGTGGAGGATATAGTATAGTTTTATCAAATAAAGCAGTCCAGCAAAACGAAATTAATAACAACAATAAACAACAACAAACAACACGTACGTTGTGCAATAAAACTAAACGCTTGTTCAACCAAAACCAAGAATAACACAAAGCTTTACACTCTAAAATATTTACTGTTACGCAGCCAAAGCCAACTGAGCCGAATACAACACTGGTCAAATCGGTCATCTGGCGTTGAAGCACGTTCGTGTTTGAAGGCCCAATAGCGTTGCGAGAATTGGGAAACACGTGGCTAGCACGCACTGATCACGCGCTGGTCACTGTTTACATCGGGCGTATTTGAAATGTGAATAGACTTTAGTACATATTGTGACTCAAATACATTTTTCATGGCATTATTGATGATTTTTAAGAGCTTCTATGCACTTAACTCATTTTCACCAAATTTGTGGCTTGACTCCCTTGACCTCTACGGTGACGATTATCGACTAATCGTAATCTGTCACGCGACATAGCTTTCCCAAAAAAAAAAATATTATCTATTTTATAAAGGGTGGTTTTCTATAAGACGCCAAGGGTTTAGAACATCTAATTTTTTACTGCATTAAACCTTACGAATTAATTATCATATCTACTAGTCGTAATCTGTCACTCCTCTTAGTAATCCTCTTTTTATAAAGGGTGGCTTTTGGAAAGACGTCAGTGGTTTTAAACATCTAATTTTTTGGTAAACCTAGATCTTATTATTTTTTCCATTATTCGCTATCTGCCATACAGCAAATTTTTAAATATACCAGTATAACACTCGCCAGAAACATCACTTTGTTCTTCCATTTATGAACAAATCTTGTGCCCAGCGCTCTTATCTGCTTATTGCACCAAAACTATACAACGCTATACCAGAAACTTTAAAAACTATAAGAAGTATTTGTGGCTTCAAAAAACATCTCAAACATTTTATTATTGATACTAATAGGTCTATTATTAATAATTTTTTTGAAAACCAAATAATTATTAAAAATATTGATAATAATTTAGTATTACGTTCTTTCCTTTTTTTTTAATAATTATTATATTTGTATATGTATTTGTAAATTTTACTATTTTTTATATACAGGGTGGCTCACGCTCAACGGGACGGAGCTTTATGGGAAAACGACCAAAGATATAAAAAATTCGTTTGGGAGGAATACGTAGGTTACAGACGGCTACAATTTAAAATTTGTTAGATGTATACAGGATGTCCCACATAAGAAAAAAAAAATTAGTTCATTAAAAATTATTCAAACAAGAGTAAACAATTAATTTCTGGGAGACTTTTTTTCCTTAAAAATTCAAATATATCGAAAACTAATAATAATAGTAATAGGGAACCTTTAGTTAACTGACATTATTTTTGATGTAGTTTTTAATTCTAAAATAAAAAACAGGGTGTTCCATTAAAAATAATATAACTTTGTATATTTTCTCTTATATTATCTAACAAATTTTAAATTGTGGCCGTCTGTAACCTACGTATTCCTCCCAAACGAATTTTTTATATCTTTGGTCGTTTTCCCATAAAGCTCCGTCCCGTTGAGCGTGAGCCACCCTGTATACAGTATGGTTCAAATGAAAGGAATAAATTCATTATAATGGAAGTGGTTGGTTTTTCGAAAAAACGCTCAGACAGGTCAATTTTGTTTACTTAAAGCGCAATTTTTTAAATAAAATTCAATTTTCCCCCACTTCCCATTTTTGGGCAGTGACGTCATTGACAATTTTTTTAAATAGCAACCCCAATTTTTTTTTCTTGATTTTGATAAATCTTGCAATTTCCTACTCGGAAACATAATATTTGAAATATCTGACATAACAATTTTTTTTGAAAAAAAGTCATTTAAAGATCAGATACATAAATTTTATGTTATTTTGAAACACAATAAATGAATAAAAGATAATTATTTGTAATTAAGTGCTTAATCTAAAAAATAATAATAATAATAAAAAGAATTTAATGACAATTTCACAAATTCTTTTTATTATTATTTTGTTAGATTAAGCATTTAATTACAAATAATTATCTTTTATTTATTTATGTGTCTGATCTTTAAATGTCTTCTATTCAAAAAAAAAATTGTTATGTAAGATATTTCAAATATTATGTTTCCGAGTAGGAAATTGCAAGATCTATCAAAATCAAGAAAAAAAAATTGAGGTTACTATTTAAAAAAATTGTCAATGACGTCACTGCCCAAAAATGGGAAGTGGGGGAAAACTGAATTCTATTTAAAAAATTGCGCTTTGAGTAAACAAAATTGACCTGTCCGAGCATTTTTTCGAAAAACCAGCTACTTCCATTATAATGAATTTATTCCTTTCATTTGAACCATACTGTATGTACATTCTGTTGTAAATTTTATGTAGTTGTAAATTTGTAAGATTTATATCATTTTATTTATATATTTTGTATTTTAACCGAAACAAGTGTCTAGGCACTTATCGGCATTTTTGGCTTTATTTTAATATTTGTTAACATATATTTTGTTTCAATGGTTTTTTATTAATAAAGCACTTTATTTATTATTTATTTACCTCTATCTAATAAAAACTTTACAAGCCACACCCTTTAATCAAAAATCCAATCATAAACATTACTTTCCTATGAATTTACAAACATAATAAATAAGTGTAATAATAATAATAATGTATTTTTAAGAATTTTAAGAAGTATAAAGGTAACATTTTGGAACGCGCGACGACGCAGGAGACCGAGACACCAGTGAAACGGTAAATATTGCCATACTAAATCTGATGAAGAATTACCACTAAACATACATAAAAAATGAAGAGTTTGAGGATTTTCTAATGGACTGAAATATTAGATTTTGACCAAATTGATATGGGACAACCCCTGAAGTACCCTCTTTCTAACAAAAAAAGAATCATTGAAATAGGTCACCACCATGTCAAAAAACTATCGCTGAACATAGATAAAAAAAAATATTACGACGAATTGAGAACCTCCTCCTTTTTTGAAGTCTGTTAAAAA